ATGTCATTTCAAAAGTGATTAATATGAACTGTTAACTAGCTGTAGCATTAAGGGGAAAAAACTGAACTGGCATTTTAAATTGTATGCGTTTCTTTGATTTTTTCTTACACTGTAGAAATAGAATATGTTCAAAAATGATTCATATTACTGTATCAAACGACAAAAACATTTGACTTGAATGTTTGCCTCTGTATTTCCAGTGATGTGCAAAGAATAACTCGTTTCTAGACCTGAACACTGATGCATATTTTGTAGTATTTCACAACTGCCTGAGGGCACAGGGTTGTTTCTATGTGATGAAATATCTTAGTCTAAGTGATCCAAAATATTTTCTCTAATTTGTACACCTTGCACACTCTGCATGGTGTACAAAAAGGACTGTTAACAGGGTCACTCGCTTTATTAATATACACTGGATGACTATAGCAACAGCACGCTTACAAGTCCAGTTTTATCTCTGGTTGTGGGAGGGCAGCAGGCGAAATATGAAGACGATGGCTTACAGGAAGGAAACCCGTGGCAGCCTGATATTAAAATGGTTCAGGAGTCAAGTAGAACAAGTCAAATAGCCGGAGGGCAATCAGAAGAGAGAGAAAGAGGAGGGAAAGAACGGGTCATTCTTAAAAGCTAATGGACTGTCAATGAAAGTATTGTACTATATTTAATATAATGAAATATGTTTGTTGCTAGTCAACACTCTGCTATCAGTCATTTACTGTCTATTATTTTAACAAGATTATTAACCAAATATGAACAAAACATTTTTTAAAAGACCAATTTTATTGACATATTATTTCTTACAACCACAGCAGTGATCTTCCAGTAAAAATATGTTTTTTTCTGTTAATATTGTTTTCATTTTGTTATATGCAGTTTACTAATACTTCTACACATTTTATTTTTACATATTTTTCTTCTCCTGCATCTTAGTAACTTTTTCAGTGTTTGTCTACCAGCTGTTGTGATCACAGCTTCCCACAGCTGTAGCTTTCTGTGCTGAATGTCGACCAGATGGACTGTAGCCTGAATACCAGGTCATCCAGGGCTCAACATACAGAAAAAGCAGCCAACGCTTGTGCAAGAATAAACTTTCCATTAGGGCATTTGTGCATTTCAAATTGTGTGTGGTAGACAGTGCACAGACACATTAGTGCAATTTATTGCTCCATAATCAGCCTTTATCAAGCATGCCTGTATCCAACGGGGTATTTTGTAGACATTCCCCTGAAGAGGGAGTAGCGTATGACCCGCTACACTTATCTGCACAGCCTCTCTGCAGCGACAGAGAGCCTGATCCATCCTGAAAGGGGGATTGAACTCTCACAAGATGAAGACATGACATCTCGGGCTTACTTGATGTCAATGATAGGACAGCTCACTTGTAGATCGGGCATGTTGCCAGCCAGCTCTCTCTGGGTCCTGAACGCAGCGTCTGAACAGAGGCCAACGACACAGATGACACCCGGGGAAGCCCAGTCACCTGTTGCTTAAGGACAGAATAATCAAAGTGGGTCATACCGGGACACTGGCCACACAGTTTGTGTTGGGAGATGATGTGTTCATTACATGCATGTGTTTGAAAGTGTGTGTGTGTGTGTGTGTGTGTGTGTTTTTGAGCTGAGTCCTGATATCCACCCCAGTGACAGAGATCATCAGCATCAGCAGAGGATCTTCAGCCTGGATCATGTTCACAATGAGATCTTAGCCAGGCAGCCACATCACGGCACAGAAAGATCTGCCTGCCAAACCATATCTGATCATTTATTTAGAAATGTTTAAATAAGCAAACATGTAAATGAAATAAGAGCATTTTTCTGAGATAAAACAAGGGTCATTTTATTATGGACAAATAACAACTGTATTGATTTACATGCATGTTACTGCTGCCCTTAGGGGGGTGTTGCCATGACAACTCCCTAACAATACTGCTTAATTGCAACCTCAATGAAACATGCATGCTCAATCAGAGACAGAGTTTACTGTCCAATTTATGGAAATGCATGAAAGGGGCCTGTGTTTTGTTGCAGGCTACACCTGCACTTGTCAAGGTACTCAAGTACGCCGGATAATTGGCTGTTGATTGCTGCCATTAACATGTGATGGCTAAGTGCATCTAATTCCTGTGCTATTTCTGCCGTTCAATTTGGTGTCACCACCACCCACTCTTTATTTCTCACAGGTGATTAGCTTTGCCGGGGAAATTGTTCTTTTTCTAATGATATAAGCACAATATAAGGAAGTAGCAGCAGTCTCACAAGCACCATTGTAACTGACACCTTTGCCTAATTGATACCCTTTGTGGTGAGCAGAAATGGAAGAGGTGGGTAGGCAAATGTATTAATCTATTTTATGTCAAACATAATATAATTAAAAGTATAAAGTCTCAAGACAGTATATTACTTTTTTACTGTATTTCCATGCTTTAATATTGACTCTCTTAAGCTTGCTTATGATCAACAAGAGCTCTGCTTTTTATTTGTTCCAGGACACACATCTCCTTTTCAGCCCTTTGTCTTTGTAGTTTAAGCTGGACTCATCACAAAGAGTTGTGCTCACTTTTCCTATTTGCATCTCTTACAGTATCTCCACCTCAAGGCACACATCCTCGGTATCCCTTTGAGTTTAATCTCCTCTTCTGCCCGTGTCCTCGCGGCTATATCATTTAAGTTTTAATATGTGTAGCCTATTTGACATTTTCGTTCATTTAGACCCCCCTCTTCCTCTTCCTCAGTGCCCCCCCACATTTAATTTAATTGACGTGCTGCTATCTTGACGATTATTCTGTCCTTAGTAAAGCTTCCCAACACAAACAGCAGGTTAGTCCAACGAGATAAGAACATATGGACATGTAGCCAACCATATATGCACGTGAGGGGTGGAAAGAGGGCACGTGCATGATGTATTCGGACCCATTATGGAAAATACGACGAGGAATCTTAGTCAACAACAGACCATTTCATTGGATAACTCGTAAAAATATGAACACGTTTTTTCTTTGCCTTTCTTACAGGCTTTGCTGCTTAAGGTTGAGTGTTACATGTCCATCCTCTAAAGGGGCCTATATGCCTACTGAAAGAATAATAAAGACAATAATGAAGATGATAGAGACAATAATATATGTAATAACAATATATGTGTTTTTCTTACGAATACCCACCATAAACAAAGCAGATCCAGTTCCAGACAGCGAGTGGTTTTAAATGTCAGGCCGTCGTGCCCTGTGGTATTCTTTGTCTGAGCCGCTCTCAGATCAGATCTGCACACCGTCGACAGGAATGGTGTGTCTGCCATCTGCAGGCCACGGAGGGAGAGACGCGCACAAATGCAGTGCACAACATGTAGCCTATCCTCAGTCGTGAAGCAATGCTGGTGCTTGTTGTCCCAGGCTGCATGGTTTGTAAATTATTCCTGGATTAAAAACAATGACTAGCAAGAACAAAGAAACATGTTTTAAATATTCTCATTCTCAATATAAGTCATGTTACACGTGATTCTAGTAGCCTTCGTCTAATGGTGTAGTCCTACCTTTTGCAATGTCATTATTGTTTGTATGCTGTATTATCACTTCGGCAGGGGCCTTTTTTAAGGATCTGCTAGCCTACTGAAAACATTTTCACTATAATGAATATTTTTTTAATTATAATGAAACGTTATTGTCTAATCAGAAAGTCCGCAACCTCTTGCTTCTGATGTGTTCAATGACTTCACATTGTTGAGTCAGGTTAGTAAAAGCTACAGTGGGCCTATGGCTGTGGGTGATGCAGGATTCAGTTAAGCAGGAGGTGTACTTCTTCTACTGCTACGCTGCAACCAGGAAGTACTGTAGCAGACCACCATGTGAAGTCATGCATGAGCCCCGCTGGACTGATCATCTGTCTTCCCACAGCCATCTGTGAGAGACCTCGGGCCTGTTTTTGTCTGACATCAATTTGAAACTTAAACGAGTCAAACATCCCCCACTTTAATGGTCTTCTTTTTCACGTCAAAAAACATCACCTGCATGAAAAAAAACTCAACTTGCACCAATTATGTGCGATATTGCTGCAGCTAAAGACGGTAATAGCCATTGATAATACAGTATGTGTAGCAGCATAATAGACAACAAAACCAAGCCTCCTTGTCTTTCAAATCAACCAAGTGCCACATAGTCAAAAGATCCAATCTCCAAATCTGGCCTATCTAGCCATTGGCTTATGCAACTAATTAACTTCACACACCGAAATTTGAATTTAAATTAACACTTGCAAGATATCATCAGGGGACACAAAGCACCCCGCAAAGAAGTTTATGATGAAAAAAAGATGAGTATTAGAGAAGGCAAGCGGTGAAGTAAGGAGGGCTTTTAGATGAGGGGATATCTCCAATTACAATCCAGCGTACACTTGTCAGCAGTAATGAAATGTTTGCTGAGAGGTTGCTATTTGTGGTTGCTAGATTGGATGATGCTGCTCCACTGCCCCCACTAACAATTATATTCTGTGCATAAATTTCTCCACCATCTCCTCTTTTGTGTGAACGGTTGGACAGATATACCTACAACTGTCCGGGGATAATGAAAGTGTTGTGCGTGTACAGTACAGTACCAGGCACTAGAAGTGGGGTAAAAAAAATTATACAGTATAATATTGCAATATTTTGTGTGCCAATATTATATCTCATGTCAGCCAAGCATTGATATTTTTAATATATTTTAGATGTGCTTTTTTAATTTTTAACTGCTGAAGGGGTTGCACAATTCATTTTGAACAAGTTGCATTAAGAATTCTTGTTCAAGTTCAATTAGACATATGTAGTTAAAAAGCTTAATCGCAATATATTGTATCACAATTCTCAGCATATCGCAAAATGTAAAAAAATCGTAATAGAATTGTATTGTGTCTCGAGTATCGCGAAAATATCGCATCGTGGGGTCTCTGGTGATTCCCACCCCCAGCAGATACGACATTCTCCCCCTGCAGACAAGACCGTATCTCAAGAGCTTAAAGAAAAAAGAAGAAATAAAAAAGGGAAAAACTTCTGCTTCTTTATTGTTTTTAAAGAATTACATAATGCATTGATCACAGTAAAGACAAACCGACTTTCCCCGCATGTCATAGTTGTGCAAGCTTACAGTTAAATGTAAAATTAGATGTAAGATGTAAAACTTTTATTTTCCTCTGCTTGGCCTTTCGACTCAATTGTACAGGGAGCAGAGCAGTAAAGCTTTGAGGAACAGACCTGCTCTTTGGCCTGTTTACTTTGCATACAATCAGAGCTAAAGTTAAAGTTGCTGTTACAGTCGTGTATAGAAATAATGTGTTGATTTGATCAGTACGTCACTCGTTGTCTGTAGCTGCAGAGACGGGCTATCTGTGGAGAAACATAAGCCAGGTCCCAAATAATTTCATCAGATTTGTGGAGTATGTATTTCCTATTAAAGTGACATCACATAAACCTAATTAGCATAGATGCAACCTGCAACTTGATTTTCCAGTGCATGGTTTTCTCATCAAATTGATTACACAGACGCTGCAAAGAGTACACCGCCAAAACATGGAAACATGTGGTGCATATGCTACTGTTGACAGACATTAAAAAAAATGTTTTGATGTCCCTGTAAATTCATCAGCTTGAAAGAGTAACAGTCAGGTGAAAAACTTAGCTACTCGAATGTTATTCTAATCACAATATGTTCATGTTAATGACTGCAAAGGCTAGAAGTAATGGAAAATGCACTGCTCCCTGTAAATTTGTTCAGGAAAACACATCTGTTTTGTGCAAAATAAATCATCGAGTTCTGATATGCAAGTATCACGGACACAAAGAGGAGCTTTGCATCCTCTTGCAGGTTCAATTACTGGCCTGTGGCAGATAGTAATCATATTCTACTGTTTATCATAATAGAGGAGCTACAGACCATCCAATGACTTCATGCAAGAGGAGGCAGAGGGTCAAGCAATCCCACACTCAGCTCACACACACACACACGCTCACTAGATAAAAACCACACACACGTACTACACCAATCACTGTAGCATAAAGTCAGTAACAAGTCAATAGTGTTGATTATTTGCTCTTTTATCCTTCTGTGTTTTGTGCTGTCAGGTTGTTTGCCAAGAAAAGTAACGGGGTAACTAAAACTATAATACATGTGGCAAGTCAAAATAGAAGCAGAGGATTTCAGGAAAGGGGGAGTGTTTAGCCATTTCCAGGATAATTAAAGACATGCGTGTACGCTAATTGGAAAGTTACAATGACACTGGGATAACACAGCCCGCCAAATTGAAAGGAAAGAAGAAGAAAGAAATGTAAGTGCACATAAGCAAAAAGTCCCTTTCTTGAAACTTAGGAGGAGGTAGAGAGCTAATATCCAATAGTCTGCCCATGTGGACACGTGGCATCTCAAGTATCAGATTAGCAACTAAAATGTCTTTGTTTGCTAACAAAGGCGAGCGTTAATTAAGGGTGATGTGACCAAACCATCACACTAGCTCAATATCCAATTTTTCCTCCCCTTTCTTCCTGAATGTTTTACTGTTTTTACCCAGTGCAAAAATGATCCAGAGCTCTGTCGTCAACCAATTCAGGACAGTAACTGTATACAGGCTGATATCAGGCTCATTGGTTCCAACTCTGAGGTAGGATCTAGTATACCAGAGGGGATATTTATTGAAGTGCCTTAAAGGGACTGAGCCTTGACAATCAGTGATGTGGTGATGCGTGGTTGGCCGTTGGAGTGTTTGTACGTGGTGGTCAGGTGGGGATAATGCCTATCCTGGGTTTAAAAAAAAAAGAAGCTAAAAATAAACACATGTACAGAGCGCCCAACATCAAAGGCACTGTTTTCAATATTTCCATAAAATGCCACCACTTCTCTGTACACATTCGACCCTGTTTCCTGACCACCCAGCGTCCCCCCCCCCCCCAACACACACACACGGGCTACTCGTCGCTAAGGTGCCTTTCCTAACTCCAGCTTTTCTAGCAAGTTTATAACAATAACACCGCTTGCCTCAGACATTTCAACTGGGCACGATTGGATTTTTTTTTTTTTTTTTCAAATGATAAACAAAGAATTAAATAGAATTACAGAAATAAATACATTTTATTTCATATAAATATGTGGGCCCTTATGTCCAATTTCTCACTGACACATTCGTGTTTGGGAATAAGATGAAGTAAACAATTCATGAAAGAAGCTGCCCGACTGTTTGATACACTAACCCTCTGAGTATTATGGTTTTTGTGAATTAATATCAGTGTTTATGAGTCTCTAAATCCCATCAGTAACCATCACGCACTGTAAATCCCCACGTTACAATGAATTTAATGAACATTATACTGTAATTTAATTGGAAGCCCTTCCCTCTCACTCAGGGGGAAATAAAGATCAGTGATCACATCAAGGAAGTCTGGTCCCTTTATATAGGATTATCTTTTAGGTTGATTTAATGTCATATTAATAGCTGTGTTTATATACAATTCCTAACACAGACCCCAAAAGTGAAACATGACTAAAGAGACAAAAGAGGAAAAATCTAAATCAGGTTCAAAGTTAACATCTGGCCAATTTTTTCCCCAAGGCTGTTTTTTTTCTCAGACGGCTAAAACCTGGATTTGTCCACTTACATACAGTAATATATATTTTGTAATCTTTCAACGTCTCTGGCTATGTACAAGCTATACAAATAAAGAGCAGGCTGAGGGCCAGGTTTGAGAGGCTGTGCAGAGGGAGCAGTTGGTTGGGAAGTCTCCCAGTCTCCCGGCTCCTTCCCCCGCAGTCTGCCCATACAGGTGGCTGTTCTGCTTCACTTGCGATCGTCGATGGTCTTAATGAATTCCAGCGCTGCGGTGAACTGCATCCACCAATAGCACTCCTCCCCACTCAGCCGGCTGGCATAGAAATTATTGATGTACTGAACGGTGGACAGCAGGCAGGGCGGGTTTGCCTGGAGGGGAGGAGATGTGGGGATGGGCTCACATTAGCAGCTGAAAGACGCTCACGCTACGCCGTACAGATTTTAATCAGAAATATGTAAAATATATCCACACAGGTTAGCAAACAGCAGTCGTCTGGGGAAGAATTTCATGTTTATTTTTCGTCTTCATTCATCAAAACACAATTAGTAATCAAACTGAAGGTATGAATCCAAGGAAACTGAAGAGTTAGCTGAAAACACAGCTTTGTACCGACTGTGCTGTCAAACTGTGAGTATGAAGACGGAATGTACTCACTCTTATGAGGACAAAGACGAGCACAGGGACAAAGTCATCCGCTCCTGGGACGGAGTCTTCATTGGCCAGACTGAGGAGGTTCATGATGGTGGAGCACATTCGCAGTATACACTGGACTTTGTCTCGTGGTGTCTTGTACGCATTGATGGTCCTGATCTCGGACTGAGCGGAGGGCCAGGGGGCCTCCCTCAGGTAAACCTGCAAACACAAAAGTAAAATTACCCAACAATGACAAACACTCTGTAATGCTGACTGTACCAACACGTCTGTTCCTTTTCTATAAATGTTCTGGAGTGATGAGGAAATGTACAGTAATTAGGTAAATACCTCTGGGACTTGAAGGGCTTTATGATTTGCCGTCACAACTTTTGACAGTCGCTGGATATGTTCATGGAAAAGCCTGCGTGAGACAAAAACACTCAACATGGTCAATTCAACAATGTATGGTTTCTTAAAGAATCTTGTTCCTCTAGTTCTAGTTATGCAACACAAAGAGGCAGCGGTACTAAAATGCCATGACTTTCAAATTTGAAGTTTCAAATAATGAAAAAACAAGCAAAGCTGCAGTTAAAATGTCACAGAGTAGCTTCACATCATATTCGAAACATGTGAAATTATTTTAAGTAACTTGCACACGTACAAATTAGAGCAAAAACTTTAATCTGCTGATTCAATTTATGTATGCATTTAAACGCAATAATACAGACAAAACAATTAACATTGAGACTTTTACTACACTCATGAATCGAGAGAGGATGAGTGGAGGTTGAAGTTCTGCAATGGAATATTTACACCATAGAAAATGACTTGAAATTTGGGTTGAGTGTAAAAGTCAAATTTAAATGATCACTGATTCTTTAAGGCTGGAGCAAAGCACAAGAGAGTGTGTGCTGCTCTGGTGTCGTTCCAGATACTCACTGGTCTCTGAGAATGTCTCCATCCTGGTTGGGGTAGAAGGCCAGTTTGAAGATGCGGTTCATAACGCTACGTTCGATGGCCATCTGGGCATCCTGCAGCTGGTCCTCGCTTGCATATTGCCAAATGGCATCACGGGCCATGGCACCGTACAAGTAGCGCAGAAAATCCTCCACTGCTGCTGTCTTGTCATCTGATGCTGTGCACCCCTGGAACGCTGGAGGGAAGCAGAGGGACAGCATTAGCACATCAGCAGGATAGACTGCTATAATATAACTTCCAGCCTTCTAAAGTTCTCTATCACACAAAAAAACTTGACGAACAAACAAGTCAATAATCCTGAGCTAAGGGTTGATTACACACAATGTGAAAATATAGAGATACCTTTAATGAAGTCAAGCATCTTTGACTCCATGTGTTCGAGGAGGAGCCGAACACAGACTGTGGTGAAGTAGCGGTTAGCCACCTCCTTGTCTCTGAGCACCCTCTGGAGGAGCCTCTCCAGATGGGCCTGGGAGGTCTGAAGGCCCTGACGACACCTGGTTAGATAAGCGATGTATGGGGCCCGCTTTCTGAAAGGAACACATGTAACCAAATCTTTTATCATTGCTGCCCATGACTCTGTAGTTGCATAAAACAACACCGAGCACTAAACAGAGAAGATCACAACACAGAGCCAAGACCCTAAATGAGCCTGCATTGTCACCACAGTTACCTGTAATCGTCTGCAATCGCAGCCAGCAGCTTCCTGCAGGTGCGTGCGTCGAAGCGGCTGACGCAGCGTGTGGTCTCCTGGATCTGAGCCATCTGGTTCTTATCCTGAAGGTTGATGGCTTCTGCTAGCTGGACCTTCAGGAAGCAGACGATCTCATTCTCTGAGAGAAGAGAACGGTAGGAAGACAGCATTAGACAACTCTGCTCGCTGCTCTGATCAACCTGCTGCTCCACATGACAATGTGACTGATGGCAGTAAGATGGGGTCCTGTGGTTTTTGCTGTTGACCATTGATTCTGCCTGCAGAACTGCTTGGAGGAAAGCTTAGAAAGTCTGTCTTTTCTACACCAGAGCTCTTGTATCTTACTGAAAAAATGTTGAATCAGTATTAATCTGTTACAAAATTATTTGTACTACGTTTTAGTAATGTGATGTTTCGCAGCACCATATGGAATTTTCTTCAAAATCCTTCTCTTTCAACCTTTCCCTAAATCTCTGAAGGCGACTGGAAAGGTGAAGGCGATACAGATGTTCTTGTCTTGCTTTAGGACACTTTCAGAAGGTAGGATTCTAGCCAACATTAAGGGTTTGTACCCTGCTCCTGACACAGAGCAGAGAGTCCGATTCCTTGGGTCAAGTAAATTTAAAACTAAATAATTAAATCATTAGTTTCAGTACAAACTCAAGTCCCAGCTCTAACATGCATGCAGCATTAATATTGTACTTCTTAGTTTCCTCTAAAGAAAAAAAGGTAGGACATAAAAAGCGGGTGAAAAACTCATTCACTGAATGTGTATAGCTACTAAACAAGCAAGTTACTATAAGCATTTATAAATATTGATTTTATGACTGTTTACCCTCAGAATCCATGTGATCAGGCAGCCCATTGCGAGTGGTGGTAGGAGCCATGATTGGCAGAGCCACTGAGTCTGCAGAGCACAACGCCAACCTCAACTTCTTCTTTGCGTCACTGAGGGACATAAACAGATAGAAACATAAGTAAGAGCAAAGGATACAAGTACAAGATCTGCAAAATTGTACATTTCTGACCTGAAAGAGAACTTGGAGCCGTGCTGCTGAGCTGTCTGGCTGGCTGAGTCCGGGAGGTCATCTGTGGAAATGTTCTGCAGGGTGTCCTCTCTGGGAGAGTCGTGCACACTTTCTTCTACACAAAGATCTAACAACACACACAAATATATTCAAACTACTCGATTAAACCATTATAAGTGTGTGCAATAGTCGAATGTACCAGAGTGTCATTTTCTCCTGACCTCCTGTACCATCGTAGGAAGCTCCACCTGTGGCTCCATCACTCGGGCTGGTCCTCTTAATGTTCCTGTATTTGTCCAGGATATCTTCAGCTGCCTGAGCTTGAAAGTTCTGTCTTGGCATTGGGTCATCTAATAAAACAACGCGTACAAAAAAATACATTAGACTGGAAACCAACATAAAAGATATCCACATGTTGATTCAGGCGTGTTTGGAAACATTAAATAAAATGTTGTTGAACCAAACACAGACCTTGTGGGACACGTTCATGGGGGATGTCATCTTTCTCCGGCTTTTCCCTTTTCCTAAATGCTGCTATTGGAGCTGTAAAGAAGGAGACATATTAACGACTGAATTCACTCTCACTTTCACTGGAGGCTGATCGTGATCCACTTGCTGTCAACCACTTGAACAAAATGACACTTTTTTCATGGTTGCACTAATTTTTAGGTTTTGTGGTGCCAAAAATAGTTGTGAAGAAGTAAACAAAAAAAGAGCAAAAGAATACTGAAATGGTTGAATAAACCCATTGGTTCATACCAGAATATCACAAGCTCACTGTATCTTACTGTGAAACTGTAACAGATGTAAATAACCATATGGATGATCATCCTATAAAACAAAGCTGCAAACAAGACAAGCAAGACAGACACTGAATCTAGAATTGGATAAACACAGAAAACACTGGGTAGTGTATCTACGTTGATATTCTGTGTTGTCTATACAGTAAGATGGGAACGTACAAAAGGAAAAGGGTGGTAAAACTGGTGCATGGATGAAGAGTGTGGGTGTAGGGACACAGGCTACACCATTGTCACATCACAGCCCTACAGCTCTAAGAAGCAGCACGGGTACGCAGCCGCTGGTTCCAGCAGGAAAAGCTAGCTCAATGACAACAGCACAGAAGCGTTACCTGGGACATCACTCTCAGCCGTCCAATAAAGCACTGTGAGGGACACAACAGACAGGGTTGGCCTTTCACACACAGGCTGCAGCTCTGGCCCACATGACTGTGTGTCACCGTGCAGAGCATCAAACACACACAATGGACTCTACAGAGATTTGATGGGAGATTGGTGGTTTCGGCTTCAGTGCTCTTTTCTTCTCCATGTGCATACTGCCGTCCACTTTATGAATATCAATGTATTGTTTACTTAAGAAACATCATTATCTCAAAGAGTAATAAGCAGTCATTGTGTGTGGGCACAGCTCATTATTTCCCAGACAGATGTATGAGAGATGGTTGTAGAGTAGAACTGCAACAAGAGATGTGTCATCTATCAGTGCTGATGACAGAAAGGTCTATCTAATGACCATTAGCCGCTGGTTGACAGCACTGCTGGGAGGGCTACAGCCATACAATCTACACAGCTAAAGCTCCTCTGATGACTGATTAGCTTTGAAAAGTCTATATAAATCTGGAGCCAGCAAGACATAAGGGAAAAAGGGCCGGACACGTCTCTGGTGTAACTTCAAACAACAAGAAACATCATTTTCCAACTAGAGCGTCAGCAATGGAGTGGACAACATGGATCATCATTCTCTTTCTCACATTATAAATTGGTTTTTGCTCAGTTCTTTAAAGTGTGATATTTCCTGTCAGTTGTGATTAAGAGAACTTTTTTCTGCGACAAGAAAAAAAGGAGCGCTGTGGGCAAACAGATCTCTTTTAGATGAATTAAAGGTCATTTTTCATTTAAGAAAAGAGGGCATTCTTTAAGTGCCTTAACGCTTTGTTTCCTTACCTTTGGGTATGGCTGACACAAATCGTTTCTTCCACCATGGCCTGTTGCGATCAGACTTCTCATCATCACTGTCTTTCCTGTCCTCAACCTTTGAATGGAATGATTCAGGCAGATTTTAAAGCATTATATCTAGAACTTTCACCTAATCTTCAAGTCTTTATGCTTGTTCTCAGCATTTATTGCAATAACAAAGTGTGCCTCTGTTGCACATACCTCTCCTTTCAGGGAGTCCTTGCTAGGCGACGAGGACGGTCCTAAGGCAAAGGCAGGGTCCCGCTCTTCTACAGCTACCCGCCGGTTAAGGCCGGGGTCACTTGTGGGCCCGGCGGCCGGGGCACACGATGTCAGAGCTGCGGCTACGAACCAGCCTGTCAGGGAAGGAGTGGCGCTGTTTGGTGTGCTCCAGCTCAGCCTGGGCCAGGCAGTGAGGCATGAAGAGAGAGTGGCGCGTCTCCTGCCCCAGGGCACTAGCTTCAGGGATGGGAGGATCGGGGGGAGGGTGAGCAGGCCTGGCGTAGTGTACTTTAGGCCTCACTATTGTTCCGGTGGAGGAGCCTGAGGTAATAAAGCCAAATATAAAGGATTGTGGAGTTGATGGGGTTTTTTTTTTTTTTTTTTCAAATGAAGATAATTAACATTTATTCATCCCTGTACACTCCGTATACTGTATGATCAGTTTTCATTATATTCTCTATGATCTACAGGTTACTCACTTACCAGCTCAATGCAAAGGCTTCATAAAGACTCTTTCATTTTTTCAATATCAATGTTGAACTACACTCAACACCTTAAATAGACTGAAGAGATTCTACAAAAACTTAAGTAACAGGTAGCGTTGTTCTGTAACACAGAGTTTTACTTTTTCCCAAAAAGTAATTTGTTTAACTTTCTGTAACAAGAAAAGTATAAACACCTAAAATTGGGAGTACTGAAGAGAAATGTTAGTGGGACATGAGCCCTAGGTATAGGTGGGCCACCTGTTCCAAGGGTACACTCTCTCTCCTGAAAAGCTTCCATTGGCAGCATCGTGCCATGAGCACAGTGGGACGAGGGGACAGTGCCAAAGAGCCTGGGGTGAGGTCTCTCAACCTGTCATCCCTTCACCTTGCCACAGACACACAACCACGACCATTCCTCTCTCACACTTTTCCCACCTGCTCTATAAACAAAATTCACCAGAACAAAGACTGTAAAAAATAATCTGAGATACTTAATCAACCAATTGAACTGACATTTCATTTAGCTAATATGTCCAGTAATTGGGGCCCAGTCAGTCTTTCAATTTATTTCACAGAGTTCAAGCTGTTTTGAGAGCCCAACACATTAGGGTAGGGATTAAATGATGATTATTTCTAGCCTGATTGGCTGTAGTGCATTCTGGGAGTGCAAATTACCTTCACCCGAGGAGAGAGGATCGAACATGGCGAGTAAGGACTCTGCCTGTGAGGGGGGAGATGTCAGACTGTGTCCTGTTAAAACACAAAAGCATACAAGACAAGAGGGTTCACTAAATTGATGGTTGTTACACAAATTGTAGTGCTGTTATTTAAAAATGGTTAATATCATTTAATTAAAAGAGGTAATACCTCAGCTTCCATTTGTGATCACCCTACTACTGACTAACATCAAATATTTGATTTGACCCTCTTTATTTAATAGTTAAAAGTACTGTAATACAGCCTTTTGGCAGCTGTGGAAGTGATGGGAATTGATAGCTCTAGCTGATGATGTGTAGGACGGATAGACATTGGACTGATGGCTTAGCTAGCCTAGCAGGGATGTGACACTCTCCTACCGTGGCCTGACTCCTCCCCATCTGGACTGGTCACAGAGTCCTTCCCCCCGAAGTCTGAGCTGCACTCTGACCGCAGGTCCTCGATCTTGTTGGGGATGTCTTCTGAGGTTGCACTGATCCCTGCAGCGAGGAGGAACAAAAAAAACACAACAGTTGTGTTGACATTCAGGACAAAAGCAAGTCAGTAGAGTAAACTTTGGCTTAGCAGCAGCCAGAAGAGAGGGCATGTTCTGCATGTTCAACGTCTCTCACAAACAAAAAGAGGACATTTTTCTCTTTAGACTAATACTGCATGGTATCTCTCAGGTGTGAACCCACTGGGAACTCCAAATTGGTAGCGTAAGCTCCCATGGGTTAGAGGAGAGATACAGATAAGAGTGATCATCAGATGCAGACTATCCATCGACCGGATCCCATGGGACGTTTTCCTGTGAGCTGAGCCAGGAACATCACCGCTGGCTTCTTAATCTGGGATACTACCTCATGCCTGTCAACAAAGTGTGTCAAAAAAAACGTGTCCACCTGAGCCCATGAAAAAGACACCCAACAATAGCCTGTGCCATGCAGAAAAGTTCTCACTGACCCCACGATATTGGCTGACTAACCTACCAGCAAAATGACCGCTCTAAAAAGAATTAAAGAGGGTGAAAAAAAGGCCATTAACTAAACCAGAGTTTAATAATACAGGGACATTCATGACTGTTTTACTTATATAGGACAAAAGAAATAGTAGGATAATATAAAAATGACAGAGCAGTTAGGGGATTTTGGGCTAAAGAGTTGGTAAGGTTCATACCTGACACAACACTGAGACCTGGTGTGCTGGGCCTCGAGCTGACCTCTCTGACCTCTGTGTCGTCTGAGGTGCTGCCGACCCCGGAGCAGCTCTCCAGCTCCTGCAGACGCTCCTCCTGTTTCAGGTCTTGGGCTTCTGGAAAAACAGAAGGAATAGATATAAAAATTCCCTCTACAGAAAAAATAAATTTGAGACAACGTGATAAGCTTTTTTCAATTCAAGTATGAATAAAGTACCATTTGAAATAAACTCATAATCCAATGTACTTGTGTTTGTTTGTTTGTTTCAAATAATGGTCACCCCCCCCCACACTCCTGAAAGATTATTGGGCAACCAAGTGGGCACATATGTGAGAAATCAAACAAAGCATACATTATCATGTCTTATAACTGCCAAACCACACCATAAAGCTAGTGCGGCCAATTCTTTGGCTACCCAATGGAGCTGTTGGGTCAAACCCAGAGGCTCCATACTAACAGCAGTACTCATTTGCATGCTCGTTAGTAATAATGTGTTGCTGAAGTGCTCTTCAGAGTGTAGTTTTCTGCTGCCTAGCCATGAAACAAGCGCTGTACTCAAAGCGAGTCTCCTATCGTGCTATTACCGAGCAGAACAGGGGCAGCAAACGGAACAAAAAGCAATCAAGACACTCATGCATGTCATTTCTGCACTGCACATATTGAAGTGGTGTACTACTTCAATTAACATAAGGTTCAGGCTTTTCAAAGAAACACTTAACGCTGATAATAAAAACACTCTAGTGATTTTCACAAAACACTGGTTTTCAGAAGGGGGAGTTAACTACATAATCTCTCATTAATAACAGTTGGGACTGTATGTTCATTATGTAAGTAAAGACAAAGAAAGTGTAATATTTCATTTAGAAGATTGTATTCACATGTCCAGTAGATTGACACAGTGACACGTCTGATATAAACTAATTGTCCTGGGTTATTAATGTTGTGATAATAAAAGATTTGATGTCAATAGAAATGCAGCTTTATGTCTAGACATGTAAAATAACTGACACTGTTTAAAGTGAGGACAGCTGCTGTCCTTGTGCTTCCCTCCCCACCACTCCACCACAGGTGCAAACACACCTGGTGGTCTCTCTAAGGAAACACTGAGCTGCCTTTTACTGGCAGAAGCAGATCTGCCCTGAAATACAGGCAAGTGTGCATACATGGGATGACAGATGCATGCACACATTTATTGGTATGGAATGCTGTGCAACCACACCTGGCGTTCCAACCCCCACTATAAGGAAGAAACATAAATGTGCATGCAAACACAAATGTAATGCTTTCATAAAGATAAAGTGCAAGAATCAAGACTACATCAGGAGCAAAGGAAAGTCAAAGCAGGTCTACAAAAACAGGATGAAGCTGGTTACCCACCGGAGTCACTGGGAAGGACCTCCACGCTCCAGGCCTCACTTGTGGTCTCTGAGATGGTGGAGCCATAGGGGTCCAGCAGTACTGAACCCGAGCCAGGAAGACACAGCAGGCTGCCAAGCATGTTCTCTGCAGCTGCCCCTGAGAGCAGAGAGACAAAGAGTTAACCTCCTTCCATAAAAAAGTGTTGGAACAGCAGAATATCCCCTCTACAGTCTGAAAGTCATCTTGAAGGCACCTTATTGCTCCTTGGAAAACATCTGCATGTTGTTAGGGCTCTGGTGTTGATTCATATTCTGTAATTACTTCTTATAAATTATTCAGGTTTTAAATATGAGCATCTTGAGAACTTTGGAGTGCCACTACAGGAACGATGCCTTTCATAAAAGCTTGAAATATTATGAGATGCATGAATGTTCATAATTTTAAGAGCTCTGTTCAAAAACATATCAAAGCTTGGTCTTATGGGTGCAACTAATTATAATTTGAATTTTAAAGTAATTTTAAAGTTGTATTTTTTATTTCAGAAATTAATTAATTAAGTCCCAACATCATTTAAAAATGCTTCTGAAAGCCCAAAGATGGATCTTGAAATTTGCACATTTGACCGACACATTTCAAAATTCAAATCACGATATAAAATGAGAGAATAGCATATGATCAGATGTAAGAGCTGGACAAAGCCAATATGGAATAGTAAAAAAATCTTTTTTTTATCTTAAATCCATAATCTCTAACTATTATTATTCTATTTACTTTGGACTGAATGTTTCAGCACTAAATGGGCAGACTGTTGATAACACATTCATCTTTACTAAAACCTGTTCAACCACTGTACACTTTGCCTTCAGACAACACAGTGTAAAGGCCTGAGATAAGCACAAATACTACATAAACCCTCTGTGACTGTTGTGTGGTCAGGGCTTCAGAGACACTGAGCTTTGCATACAGAGACACAGAGAGAGTTGGAGGTCACATACATTTCATGCTGGGACCCACAGGCCCATATACCACAGCGCCAAAGGTCAGAGGTTAATGGTAATATTTCACCCTGCCCTGGCCTCCAGGGCCATGACTTTGTGCTGTTGATTAAGCCTGGCATTACTCACAACCAAATTAGCGCCTAACCTAGCCTCTCCCACAAAGTCCTCAGCACTGTCTCCCTCCATCTCCATTTGAGAAGCCGTGGCTTAACAAGGCGGAAGAATGTGGAGGAGGGGGAAAAGAGCTAGCAGGTGTGAGTGGGAGTCCGTGGCCAAGGCACAAGACCAAAAAGTCGGCCTGTGGTAGCCTCACCCCCTGATATGTCATGATTCCACTTCATGGCACACACGCGCCATGAGTATGCGTATGCATGCCAGCATCCAGGCAACAGTGTGTGCTGATGTTGGCGGGGGCAGGGCTCTCAGTGACAGTGGGAGAGCTCTATCCCGCTGTCCGTGTTTACAGTCTTCAAGGTAGGGCGCAGAGTACTTGTCTTTCAGGTGGATGATTAAATGAGTGGCACAACAAGAAGTGAAACAATTAGAATTTCTGCCTCATTATCATGGTAATCTTATCAGTGGGATAATGAGGTATTAATGGATATTTAATGTGCATCTCATAACCCAATCCCTTGGAGAAAACACATAAGGAAATCGCTGTAAATTCACTTAATGATGGAAAAGTCCCCCAACGCCATATTCCGAAGAATGAAAAATGGTGGATGCAAATGAGAAGGAACCAAGGTCAATAAGACTGCAGGGACTGAGTGAATGTCAGAGAGAGAGAGAGAGGATGGAGAGATGGGCAGGGGAAGGCTCTGACGAAAAAGACTCAGGCAGAAGAGATGTGAAGATGAGGGTTTAGAACAACAGGAGGACTGTTATAGTCTTTCAGGTTTCACATAAGATGAACCCTATCTCTGTACAGCCTTTCTCTTGCTCACGTACTAATGGCTCTATAGAGTGCAGAAGCTGACCTTGCCCTCCACTATCTACTGAAGAAATGTAGATTTTATATCAGCATATTCTCTGAGCTATAATTCTGTGTTTTTATACTCATTAACAAAGTAATAAATACTGAGATACAGTATTTCAACCGACCACCAAGTAATATTAGATCAGGTTGCATTTAGGATAATTGGATTGAAACAATGACACTGAATTTGGTTACTTACCGTACTTACTTCTAACTTATAGTAATTCTGTTATTACCTTTGTTGCCAAAAACAACAAAAAATTGAGCGCTGGATAGCCTAGCTGTTTGGTTTCATGCCCCATGTACAGAGGCTGTTGTCCACAAATCGGGCAAACCAGATTTGAATTCGACCCTTGACATTTTGCCGCATGTCATTCCCCACTCTCTCCTCCCGGGTTCTTACTCTATCCACTGTCCACTCTACAATAAAGGCATAAAAGCCAAAAAGTTTTCTTCAAAACAGAAACAAATTAGTATTATGCTCAATTACAGCAAAACTGATTATGTGTAATCTTTATATGCTTTAAAGCTGTTTTATCATCTATTGATTATAGAAAAGTATACCAAGAGATTGTTTATGGTAAGGGGTTTTTGTTTAAGCAGTGAAAAAGGGGTATGTCTTTCTATTACTTAAGCTTACTTCAAGACCCACCTTTTGATGCTATTTCACCCTCACACCACAAGGTGATGACATTTCCCTTAAACTACTTAATCAGCAGTCAGAGAGGGTCCCTACATGGAGCTAATTCATACCATAAACTTTGCAATGATCACTCGGGCTGTGTACATCAATCAACATGCTTAATGATGAAGGGGGTGAATGATTGCAGGTAACACAGACATGACCCACCAGCTATTTCCTGCAGCCGATCTTCATCCATGTTGGGGTCAAAGTCACTGCCCAGCACATCAGTGCTCCACGTTTCGCTGACCGTCTCAGAGATGTCCCGATCGTCCGTCAGACCCATCATGTCTCTGATCTCAAACTTGCGCAGTTTGTCATCCAGGTTGTCCTGAGTGGTGGCTGCAGAAGACAGACTCATGAATATCTTTCATCTGTGATCCCTGCTTCACACCACCTGTAAATGATACATCCATGCTTCAAACCAAATATTTTCTAAGAAACATAACACACACCTTGTTCATGCTCCAAAAGTTGTAGAGCCTCCACCCCATTACTTCCTGATGGTCCAGCTCCGAGCTCAGAGACAGACTCTCCCTCCAGGTCCAGAGACGACACAGAGTTAGAACGATTGGATGGACCTAAGGGAATACATGCATGAGAAGAGAGCGTCAGTCAGTGATTCAGCTGTTAGGGCATAAACCAGTTATGAAGTTGTGATCTTAAACAAAGGACAGTGGAATGTAAAGGTGACTTGAACCCCAAGCCTTTTTTTGTTTGCTTATCTTATTTGTCAGTACGCTTCACCCAAACAAACAAAACTGTTTTTTTTTCTAGATTTCCAGATACCACTCTGAAAACACAAAAATAAACAGCTCATTTATTTTATTTTAGCATTATATGCCACCAGGCTGACGACTCACCCTCTGAGATGCCTTCCAAGTTGTCACTGCAGAGGGAGAAGCGCAGGGTTTTGTCTGGTTTACCATGCAGCTTAGTATCATCAGCATGGGCGTCTCCCTGGGCCCCATCGGCCATTTGAAGGTTCAAAACCTAGAGAGCCACAAAGAGAAGAAAAGAATACTAAATAAAAAGATATCACTTGTCACTGCAAAAAAAACACTTATATATAGTTGCAAACTAGCATTTTGCTTTTTGCATTTTTGCCAGAGTAGGAAAAGGTCAATCTGAATCAGGGAGTGTGTCCTAAAGAAGATCTAAGGTTTCAGTTTCAGAACATTACAAGAACACACAAAGCACTAAAAAAATGCCTGACACAGACTCTTAAGAAGCCTTACTCCCTTTCAGTGGCAGTAAAAAAAATATGACATTGAATTTATAACATCATCATCATCTCCTGCAAATGAGTGCATTAATTCAAGTCACATTACCTCATTCTCTGACATCATCCCAGGGACAGTCTGTGGACCAGTTCCTAGTGAAATCACCAGCACCTCCTCTGGCATCAGCTCCTGCAGGGACTCTTGTGAGCTGGCCTCTGCCTCCCCCTCCTGGGCAATGTTGGTACGGCTTCGGCTCCGGGCTGCTGCTTGTTGGCCAGTTGGAAGAAAATTATGGGAGTAAAATGTTATTTTATGATTGTTACAGTTAGGAATTTAAAACTAAACAGTTATGGTGAAAATGAGCATCTCTAGCTAACAAGTCAAAAACTACAGAGCCAGAAATCTCGTCTTGCATGTCACAACAAGGTGTTGCCTGCAAATGGTTTCTTTAGCAGTGGGAATAGCTTTTGCATTATGAGACACAGCATCTTTAGGAGCTCCACTAAGAAAATGTCAAAATTGACATGTGTTTGCATGTGTATTCCTTAGGTAAGTTATCACCTTTGTGACATTTAAGACGAGTTGTTCATTAGTTTCTAGATGTCAGACAGAAGTTAGTAAAAAAAAAAAGAGGATTAGCTTTGTTTCAGCATGAAAAACACTTCTCTGAAATAAATATCAGTGAACAGCTGACTGGTTAAGCTGGAAACAGCCACACAGAAACACACGCACACCAAAGCACATAGACAGCTCAGTTCATAGACAGCTCAGTTCATGGTGTCTCAAGAAAATCAATTAAATGATATCTGCCACTTTTTTTCATAGCATGGGTCTACAAGGCTCATTCTTGAGTTTAAAACTAGTATGGCATTTGCTAAAACATGGCACTCTGTGCATGTTGAAATACCTACCAGGCCTTAAATAATAAAACACTTAAGCAGCTCATGACATTCATGCCGACTTTAAGACGAGCCTGACATACTTTGGCTCTATGCTTTTTGTGGCTGTAGCAGTTTAATATCCATTCTTAAAAACATTGAGTGAACTAAATATAGGAGCCTGGCCTGCAATTTCTGAATCATCTTGAGCGTTACATTAATACAATCAAGAATAGATTACAATAATCCAATATGGGGTCTTTTTTTGGTGATTGAAAATTTGAAAAATTCTGAAACACTACATGCCCTCCAATTCATTCAAAACAGCCAATGTAATCACTAACATCTTTCCTGTTCCACTCTAATCAGTTTAGCCTCTACTCCCTCAGAGACCGGTGGATGCCTTGTGCGTTATCATTGACACCAGAATTGTGGGAAGTAATTGCACCAAAGCTTCTGATTTTGACCACTACTTAGGCACAGACCAGAGGGAGGAAAGGTGAAAGATTGTTTCCCTTCTCTACCTGGTAATGAAAAGCCATAATCCGCTGGATGAGGAAGCAAAAACACAGGAGAAACTTGTAAACAAAATCAGTGCAGAAACATTACAGCTCTAAAAATTAGCCACAGCAATGTGCAAGGCAAAGCAAGCATGGTGAGAGCATATGGACGACTGCAGCGCTAGGCAACTCTGGCAAGGCAGGGAGGTTGCTGTGCAGCTGGGAGAATGAACTACATGAGTGTTATCTAACACGCAACTGAGCGAAACAACATGGGTTAAGTATTCCCCAGCTCTACAACCGGCAGGCTACCCACCAAAAGGGGTTACTAATGGAATGTGAGCAGACAGAGAGGTGGTTGTGGGGTCCCAGGATGTTATAGCGGCTAAGTGTTGTCCTGGTCATTCATTGGCAGCAAAAGAGGAAAGAAGAAGGACAAGGTAGGGAGTTGAAGGAAGAAAACATCTCGAAATTTAAAGAACTTCAAGTATAAAATCAAAATTGTGTGAATAAATGTCATATCTCAGAAAAGCAAGTACAAGTGGTTCATTCTAATTAAGGGGGCGTTGCTGCAGCATCATTTGTCTTGAGAATGCTAATGAAGGTAGTCCATGCATCTTTTCCATCCATTCCAATTAAAATGAGTTCATTTATATTTGGTAATTTAATTGGTTGTCATTTCTGTAATTGAGCCTCAATCCAGGCCATGCTAATTATCTTTATAACAAAGCCGAGAAGAAGCTCATTAGCTTCCTATAAAATACAGACCTTTCACTAGCCATCACCACTCAACTCTACTTGTTTATTTTGTTTCTCATTAGAAAACATATATCAATTCTCTTTTCTAGGACTTGTTTCAAATGAATGTGATATTCCAAAAAGACTCCTCACATGAGAAGACTAGACAAGCTTGCTTCAAAGGAGGACATCAATATTTAAAAATGTCAGAAATGCAGTGGCTGTAAAGACAGATACCTATTGGGAGCCTGTTCTTCTTGTTAGCAGGAGTAGTAGCTGGGGAGAGCTGAGGGGTGTTGGAGGGAGTAAGCTCCAGACTGTTACTCTTCACAGTTCGAGACTGGGGCACGTTGGCAAGCAGGGTCTCTAGAGCCATGTGCTCCTCCTCCCGAAGGTGGTCTCCGGCCATCACGCTCCGAACAAAGTCCACCTGGGCAGAAAGTGAAAGACTTTATTTTCAAGAACATACAACATTGACAAGTCAACAGTTATCCTGACAGATGGGGTGTGATGTAAGTCTAAGGTGTTGCTGGTACAAATCATGAGCTCTTTTGTCCACTGACAAAATATATTGTGTGATGAATGAAAACAAGTATCAATAGAGAAGATACACAAAGCTTTAAATTAATAATGAGATGCCTAGAGGTACCTTCAACCCAAAATCATTTTTCTTATTTCTGGATAAATTAAACTGCACACAGAAATTGCCAGATATGTTTATGCATAGATTTCTCATCCTGGAAAATTTCCGCTGTTTGCATCTGATGAAAGCTGGAATGACCACATTCTTCTTCTGTGTCAATTCTAACAAATAAAAGTGAGTCACTTCTGCAGTTCTGAAGTTCTTCAAAAACTAAGATGTGGTCCTGGCAGTGTTAGAGGTCTACTCGGAACATGCAAACTTCTTTTTTTATTATAGATTGATATTTTACTTAGAACCCAAATTAATTCTAAAGAACCTACCAACACAAGCAGCTGATTATGAGAAATATAAACCGCAGTCCTACTGAGGCCTTCGAGAAGGTTCATTGAGGACATGGGAGGGGTCTCCACTGCTCTTCCTCCAATCACCACATCAAGAAAGGCAGCAACACAACTCTAAAGACAGAGATTCAAACAGGTAAATAGGTTATGAGACGACATTTGCTGCAATGGAAAAAATAAAACATCACAATGGTTCACACACCTTATCAAATTTAGACAAACTGCTTTTCCGCCTTGGGTCTGCATCAGCATCAGCCATGGCCAACTGCTGCAAAAGCTGCCCCACCTGTACGACAAGGAAATGTAAACTGTGTCTAAACGGTAGCATGATTCCCAAAAGTGTTGTGCAAATAAGAAAACCTGCTGTGCCACTGACCTGCATGAGATTAAAGCGAGCCACTTCATTGATGGGGGCATCTGAGATGATGCCATACTGCTCTGGGTTAACTATAGCTGGGCAGATGAAGCAGGTGAGCAGCAGGTCTGTACACATGGTGCGCACCTCGCCTACCTCCAGACGCTCCACACATGACAGAGTCTTGTACATCTGTGACACGATCCAGCGCAGGCTGTGGGGGAAGCAGTAGGTGTTCTGCTTCAGGTAACCGATAAACTTGTTGACCAGAGCTACCAGCTTGGCTTCATTGGCCTCCACAGCGGCCTGCACCCTTTGTTTGTAGCCATCTGAGCCCTTCTCTCCAAAGCGTTCCTGCTGGGCTGGAGTGAGGCGTTCTGTTACCTTAGCTGGGTCAGTCTCAAGGTGGTCTTCGTCTTCCACAAGCAGCTGCATAATGGGTTCATGGAGGGTGGCAGTGAGGAAGAGCTTAGCTGAGTACAAGCCCTCGGAGAAGAGCTTGAAGAGGATGCTGAAGGCACAGGTTCCTCGTCGCAGAAGACGCCGAGGGTTGTCATTCTCCTTCAGCTCAAACTCTACCAGGTATCGCAATACCTGTCAAAATAAGAAAGTTGATCAAAACATCTTACCAAAAGACTATTCAACTGTCTTGTAAATGTGTAACACAAGAGACAGGAAGGGCTGCTGACCTGTAGCAGGTAGCTCTCGTCCTCCTGCATGATACAGTTGCCGTAAAGTGAGGTGAAAACTGTATGGATGACACCCTGGGTGTGCTCCTGGTTCAGCCTCTCTCCTGCCACCAGACAGGACGCTACCAGTCTGGGGTTCTCCCTCATCCTGGCCAAAAACTCCCCATAGATCGTCTCCTGGAAGCCCAGAGTCTTGTAGCCATCGACAAACTGTGTGTCTTCCAGCATTTTGGCATGTTGGCAGCATTCAGCCGGAGAGGCCTCCGCACTGTAGAACAGTGATTTCCCATTACTGACAAATATTATATAAAATCTCTCGTTCCACAATCATTCGATTATTTAACTATTTCTCCTTATGATGTTAAATGTCTCCCAAAGTACAACCACAGTGGGTCTTGGAAGAGTTTTGCATTATCTGAATGTTAGACCGCACTGTAGAACAGTGATTTCCCATTACTAACAAATATTATATAAAATCTCTCGTTCCACAATCATTCGATTATTTAACTATTTCTCCTTATGATGTTAAATGTCTCCCAAAGTACAACCACAGTGGGTCTTGGAAGAGTTTTGCATTATCTGAATGTTAGACAACACTCCATCAACATTTGATGGATTGACAGGAAACATTAACTTTAAAAACTCCCTTTAGAGCTGCTAGATAGATATATTTCTTTATTTCAAAAAAGGATCCAGGCTAGTTGTTAGCCTCCTGACCCCAAAGCTTATCTTGGGCTAAAATAGCCAGCTCCTGGACCAAGAGCTGTACTTTAATTCCCAACAGGTTGAACTTATCCATTTAAACACCACAGCATATCATGATGGTGGATCTTACCTGGTGAGAATGAGTCGATCAAGGTTGATCCTCTGCTGCTTGGCAATCCATGCGGCCCGGCACAGCCTCTCAGATGTCTTCAGCACATCGCTGTTGAGCTTTTGGATCAGCTGCTTTTCTGATGCCACGTACAGCCTCTCCTGCTTCAGGTGGTGGGCCAGAGTGTGGATGTCTGGCTTCACCATCTTCACCAGCTCACACGGGCCGAGGGCTAAATGACTGGAGCAAGAATGGAACAAGATACAATGGAAACAGGTAAATGAGAGGAAGTGAGTACACAAACAATTTTGAATAAAAGTTGAAAGTCTCTGGTCTTTGATAAAGTACTCAGCACATCTTTTTTTACACAGCTGCATTCAGTCCACTTTGGGTATAGAGATGTTTTGCCCTTCAAGATTTCAAATCAGGAGGTTCATTTCAATATTTGTTTTATTATCATTGAAGGTTGAACATTTTTAGTTTTTAATTGTTGGGCAGACAAAACAAGTTATGTAAAATCAAGTCTTTGGAAAACGTATTTTCTAGTATTCTAACTGTTGAATGGAGTTGACTTGACAGACGAGTTTATGAAGCAGAGTGGATGACAAGAGAAGAAGCTAGTGGTTACATTTTTGCCAACTGCAGGGACAACGAAAGTTGAGGATATCACAGTCTCTGATGCATCAAACTTGAGAACATTGTCATGCATCTCCTGTAGGTTCCCAAACTTTAAGGAAGTGAATAATAAAACCAAAAAGGAGTTTATTTAAGAAAGTTTCAGGAAGTAAGACGCTAGTTCACAAATGATGCTACGGTCATACAAAAAAAATCATTTGCATTCCACGTGCTTCACATACTGGCCCGACAACAACAGCCAGAGCACCCTGTTCACAAGCTTGAGAAGACGCTTCATAGCAGAATATGCTAATCACCCTCTCCTTTTCCAGATATACACAGCCAAGACATACAAACCAAACCAAGTGCATAAAATTTGAATGATTTCTTGGTGAATCCTTTGCACAAAAGCCTCTTTGTGGCATTGCCGCTAACATAGTAAACACAGATTTAACTGTGGAGTAACGGCCCTAGGAAGAGAATGAGACTAGACTGGAGAAAACTGCCTCACAGTGGGAATGGCTGCAAGGCAGTGTTACTGCACACAAGCTAAGGGACAACCACAACACTTGTGTTGATATGCCTGACAAATCAGATTGGTTATGCAGATTTAAACACAAACTGATGAGCTCCACACTGAATTTCCCTGGCATTTCTAGAATAAATGGAGATAACCGATCTCCTTTTAATGTTATAAATAACTGTCTGTAATTATTGTAAAAACACAGGTAAGTTTTTAAATATCTGTCTCACATTAGAAGAATCTGGTAAGCTGTTAAATGATTTGTCTGTGAAGGCTTCCTGGGGATAGAACTTCAGTTCAGGTCAAAATAAAAAAGGCAGATTATGCCCAACATTCATAAGTAATAAAAGGTTGATATACAGTGTCAGTTGTCAAGAAAAGTCAATAACTGATCACGTTTGTAAACGTTTTTTGTTTTTTTTAAGTATTGAAGACCGTTAGGTGTTTATCTCTGCATAAAGCACATAAAAAGAAGCCATGAGAGCACACACTCTTCACAGGGAGAACTCAGAATACATTTTGCACATCACAATAACTAGTTCAGTAAACTCACAATAGCTAGTACTTCTTCAGTAAACTGCCTTACTCTTGAATGATAATTCATTACTTTAATATTTAAAAAATATTGATTTGAAAGAAAAACAATGGTTGACTTGATGATGAAAATATCAGTATACTTCACTTTAAGTTCTTCAAATGAGCTTTAATAAGCGATATACAAATGTTTATTAAATGTTTATAACAAACTACATTACAGTTATAAGCAAGTATGCAAGTGTTTGTCAAACACCATAACTCATTTTGTGGAAACCCTTGAATGTAGACTTTTGTAAACAGAGTTAATGTGTAACAATATTGCTTACCAACAGATATTATTTCTTCATAGGAGAAGTTATAATGGCTTGCAAACACAACACAATAACAAACAGAGAATGTCCTTAAGGTTCAGTAGAGTTCATTAAAATGTACTTGTTCAAAAATATGTTCATGTTTTGTATTGCTTGTGAATTCTTACTGGAGGAAGTTAGGTTGAGATGGCAATATGAGTTCATTGTCTTGTTCATGTCTACTTTTTATTTTCAAAACGTCCTTCTTTTTATTGACGAATAATCTGCAGGTAATTGTCTCACTTGATCTACTGCTGGCTTGTCTTTAAAGGGAGAATTTTCAAACTACTTTCCTACTAAAAAAGGCAGACAAAAGCACCAAATATTCACATTAAAAGACTGGGAAAACCTGCATTTCTGGCAGTTTCACTTAAAACATGAAACAGCCTGAGGCATGGAAGGTCTTCATTGATTTTTGGTCACATATTGACCAATTGTTTCAGGTGTGCAATTTATGCCAATAACTAAAAAAACCTTTGAAAGATTCTGGCATTAAGAATCTGTCATTTTCAGTTAAGTACGATGTCATTCTAACTATTCTTTAAACTATGTTTCCTACTAGAACTGCTGAGGTTGCTTTACAGTTTGGGTGATAATAGTTACAATAACACTCTCTCTCTCTCTCTCTCTCTCTCTCTCTGCACTTAGGCTGGGCACTTGGATAGGGCTTTAAACTATTGTAATTTACATTTAGGACTTTTAAAAGATCAGAAAATAAAAAAGGCAAACATAAAAAAGATCATTTTTCTATCACTTTTGTTTTCAGCTGACAGGTAACTGGCTGACCAGTGCTTCATTGGAGCACTTCCATGAATATACTTGTGTTCTTGAACAAACACATTCCTCACATTCTTGGAAGGAAGTGAAAAAGCATCTAGCTGTGAGGTGGCTAGCAGGGATGTTTACTGCCATTTGTCGTGGCCTTCTGTGCCCATCAGCTTTAATACAATCCATCCCATTTATAGCTACCTGGTGAGTCAGACATGGAGAGAGCTGAGGAACTCGAAAGCAGAAGAGATACCAAACAACATACAGTGTGAGGGAAAGCGTCATCTGCAATCCTCTGCTTTCTGTGAGAGAAACAGTAGTTGGAAAAAGAAGGCCGCTGACGGACAAGAAGACCTAATATTTCAACAATAGCGTTTGTGTTAGCACCATAGTTATAACAACAAGGAAGCATAGGACACAAGAGACGAGGCAAAAGAAAAGAGGATTTAAAATACCAACTACTTACATAATGAAGAATGAAAAAAAGGTCAGGATTATTTTTGAAAAGTTAAGCAAAAAAAACACTCAAAATTCAAGTACACATCACAACAACTGAGAAAAAGGTATTTGGAACACAGCCCTCTCCTCCTACTATATGTTCTAAGACACACACACACACACACACACACGCATCCCCCCCCACACACACACACACTCACATGAAACTCTATACTTTTTATAGAGATCCAAAGGTTTTCACTTTCTACAAAAGGTATTCATGGTTTTGAGCCAACATCCTCTTCACACTTCCCTTTCAGATAATTTCTTGCAGGTTGGGTATTGAACCTCAGACTTTCTTACTTCAATCTTTCCAGACCAATGGTAAAGGAAACTGACATTAAATGAAAGCTCATTCTGAGCATTTGTTCAGCTTTTCAGATTGGGTAAGTGGGCGAGCTGAGGGAATGACTCTGAATTAAAGAAACTGTAGTGGGGGTAAATACACAACAATCTCAGTCTTCATTGTTTCCACACCAAACTAAATATGAAGGGCGGAACAAGACCTGTATCATGAGGTTTGACCTTCAGTTGAGAACACAACATTAAAGCTGATATTGCCACACAAACCTGACCTTTTTTTTTTTTTTAACTCTTTGTTCACTTAGATGTGATATCAAATAACTGGATTGTATATTAAACTTTAGACATACACATGTAATTTCAATAAACACAACACTGTATACTAGTTGTCCATCATATACTAAAGTGAAATGTCAGTACTTGTACTGTAATCCCCTTGTATCCTTAACATTCATTATCTACTTTACTCCAATCATAACTTTTTTAACTGGGGGGAAATGTGCACATTAAGCCTGGCTTTCAGGCCCTGTGGAGGACCTATTTAGATGGGACGGACCTTGTCCTTTTGCCCAAAATAGACAAAAACAAAATCCCTAATATGTAACGCAGACAAAGTTCAGCAAACAGCACAAACAGACAAAAACACCAAAACAACATAGACTAATAAATCAGTAACTGCAGCATGGACAAGCAAAGCATCAGAAAAATACAAATATTGGTAGTGGGACAAACATATACAAACACAATCCATGAAGAAGTTAGTCCTCATGTGGTGAGCAGACAAGTTTAGTACTGCTGGTACACAACATGATCAGAATTAGGAGTTGGACTGGCTGTGCTCTCGATGTACTGAAGTATAACATTTCCCTAAATACAAGTGGAAGGTGGTGACTTTATATCTGAGTTTGTAATTAAATACTATTTTCTTAATTTGAGTTTAAAGTCACAAATTCACTTAGCTGGTTATTTTCAGGAAAACATTCAGAACTAAAATGTAATCCATTACATGACAAAAAATAATATGAATACAGTTCAGACTTTAAAGTGTAACATTATTTATTTATTTTGTCTATGAATAATTACTACAGTAATTTGGGGAGAGACAATTAAAGTACTTCTGTAGCATCCGGAGTGAAGGGTTATATCCAGTATTTAAATATTTATGATGTTAAATGACAATGGGCTATGATTTTATTGTGTACTTTGCAACCGAGATTTAGCTCAGCAGCCAGAGACACGACATGGGTTGGGTTAGGGAGTGTTTGTTACCGGATGTTAATTTAGCATAGATTACCAGCAGAGACAATCTGGATGTTACAAATAAAACACCTAAGTGACGTCAGCTTACAATTAAATGATATGAAGGAAACTGACACAACCAAACACAACCAGTTGAGTGTCTTGCACCAAACGAGTGATTTGAAAAAGGAACACAGACGTAAAGAGGTGAACTGGCTAACTTAGCAGCAGCTCGCTAACCTCACCCAAGTTAAGCGTTTGCAGGTTAAGCTAACAGTCTGCTAGTTCGCAGTTAGCCTAGCTATAAGCTACGAGCTCCTGAGTGTTCAAATGGGATCAATACATCATGCTAACATGGATACAGTGACTTACCAAACGTAATCACCGTGTAGTTGTTGTTCACACTTTGTCCAAACACAGCTGATAATACGATTTCCTGAATCAGAGGGGTTGTTTGTTGGCGGCTAGCCGTCTTACAGCCAACAGCAGCGAACAGTGCTGTCATTTGCTGTCATCACGAGGAGACATGCGCAGTCCGCATGCGCAAAAGCTCGTTAAAGGGAGATTCCACACTTGTAAGGAAAACAGAGTTGGGTAGGCTTCTTTTAAATCAAAGTGCTGCAATTTACGATTTCATTCACACTGGAAGAATTTACTCTAAAATTCAGTTAACCAAAAAATATGTGTTTTTAATACTTTGTTTTAAGTTAAATATGTTTAATTCTTAAAATATGAAGCCAGTGAGAAAATATAGAGCAAACTACTTTGGGGGAAATGTGATCAAAGTGATAGTGTAAATGTGATGTGAATAATAACAATCACCCCATAAACAATCAGTGACAGTGGAAAGTGCTAACAATCTATTTCATGTGCATATTCAGAATGAAAACAATGGCTACAATCTGTAGCTGTTCCCTCAGTTTAAAAAAATGTTTTGTGTACACCATTGTTAAAAGGCTATTCAGTATAGCTTAAATAACAGTAGAGGAACAAAGCCCCCAAAAGACTAGTTTTTGAGATACCTCTATCCAAGGTAGAACAAAGCACAACCATGTTATTTCATAACTTTTCTAACATGTCTAGTTTCTATCATGGATGGTTGTATAAAAAATATTTTACTTCACTTATTTTGTTGTTGTTGTTTAGGATCTTAACAAAGTGAAAACAGTGAAATTAAGTCGTCTCTGTAAGTCACACTATCCGCCTTATGTATGTTTGGAAATCCAGAAAGAATGTCACCAATATTTTGAAGGGACATTTACAGAAAGTTGTTTTGTACAATTAAGCAAAGTTTTCATTTAGACCATTTTCAGTTTTTAAAACGTACACACTTAAACAAAAATGCATTCGAGGAGAATATTGAAAAATATAACAATAATTCAAAAGGTATGTATAACAAATGTCATTTTTAATGTAAGGAGAAATATCATCAACATTTGTCATTTATATTTTCTTAAAGGTCAGATATTATGACATACACTTTACCATGGGTTTCTAACACTAATATGTCTCTAGTCTGTCTACACACCCTGCAATTATAAGAAAAGTCCATCTTTTCTGTCTTTTGCCTGCTCCACTTTACAGAACATGTGTACTCAAACAGGCTGGTCTGGGGATTTTTTCTTCATGACATCACAAATGGCAGTAACCCCTCCCCCAGCCTCTCCCACAGCTAGGTGTTTGTTCTGCCATCTGAGCCTGTCTTCTCACTGTAAACAATTGGTGATGGTGCAAGAAAGCAGAAGCAAACCGAAACGGGCGTGCTCAACACAGCTCATTTACAATCTTACATAGAGCTGCTCAAAATACTAAGTCCTTTGAAACTTCTCCTATTAAACTCTGCACTGAGGATCACATTCTACATTTAATGCCACCTGCTCCTAAATTTTATACCATATTGCTCCTCTCAAGATAAAAAAACAAAACAAAGCCTAAATCACTGCCTTGGCTTACTGGACCCACTAGAGCCCTAAGGAGGAGCTTCAGACAAGCTGAACGCAAGTGAAAGCAGGATGAGCTTCAAATCTCATACGAAATCCTAAAAGAGCAGCTCATCACTTACCAAATTGCAGTCAAGGCAGCAAGAGCAAAACATTTCTCAGATATCATCTCAAAACATCACCATAATCCTAAAGTCCTATTCGATATTATAAACTCTCTCACCTGTCCCCCTTTTGGATCTTAGACACTCCTCTTAGTCAAGCAGAAGACTTTTTAAAGTTCTTCACTGAAAAAGTAGCTTGCGTTAAAAAAAATATCTCAGCCCCTACCAGGCCGAAAATAATTTTAAACATAAAAATGACATTTTTGGGTCTTGTTATACCGTTACAAAAAGGCATACTAGTCACAATGACTTTGAATCCCAACTGATGTGAAATAAGTGAGAGGTACTCACTAAAGGTTCTTGGCTGAATATTATTACTAACGTGCAGCCTCCCCGCCCTTCAACTGCTCTGCCCAGTTAAACTGTTTTGAGCCTATCACCTTAACCTCACTCAAAGAGACGGTTTTTAAAATGAAATCAGCAACCTGCCCAAGTCATATAGTACCCACCAAGCTCCTCAAAGATTCCTTTAATGTGACCGGCCCTTCGATCCTCTTCATTACAAACAGCTCTTTGTCAACTGGTGTGGTTCCTCCCTCTTTTAAACTTGTTAAAAAAAAAAACAACCTGGACCCCTTACCACTTTCCAACTACTGACCCATTCTAGGGTGCTGGAAAAGGTTATTCTTCAGAAATTGCTACCCTACCTTCAGCATAATAGCATATTAGATACATTTAAATCAGGTTTCAGAGCAGCCCATAGCACAGAATCTGCACTTCTTAAAATCCACAACAACCTTCTCCTTACAATGGACTCTGGTAACTGTGCTTTCCTGATCTTACTGGACCTTACTGCAGCATTCGACACTGTCAACCATTCAATTTTAGTTCGCATGCAGCATTGGGCTGGTATTGGAGGCACAGCCCTGACTTGGTTTACCTTATATCTGAAGAATAGAACTTTCCCCCTAAACATGGCCAACACCACATCCTCCAAATCTGGTCTTACCTGTGGAATACCACAGGGTTCCATCCTAGGCCCCTTACTGTCCTCAGTATACATGCTCCCATTGGGTCAAATTATCAAGAAGCACAACCATTCATGCCACTTCAACGCAGATGACACTCAGCTTTAACTACCCGTCAAACCAAACAACCTTGCAGAACTCACCTCTCACAGAACTCACACAATGCCTTGAAAACATAAAACACTGGATGGCCTATAACTTCTTATAATTAAATGAGTCAAAAACTGAAACCCCTGACGTCATCAAACAGGTTTCCAACAGCTTAGGACACTTGTCCAGCAACATCAGGCCCCACGCCAGGAATCTTGGCTTTATCTTTGAACACCGGTTTTACATTCGATTGCAAGGTAAATTAAGTAGTCAAATCCAACTTCTTTCAACACCGTACGATTTCAAAGTTAAAACCCATCCTCTCATTTAGTGACTTACAGACAGTAATCCATGCATTCATTTCATCTCGAGTTGACTACTGCAATTCTTTATAAACTGGGATAAGCCAGTCGTCCCTGTCTCGTCTGCAGCTGGTCCAAAATGCTGCAGCAAGGTTGCTGACTGGATCCAGGAAGAGGGAGCATATCAGTCCTGTCCTAGCATCCCTTCACTGGTTGCCAATACGATTCAGGATCGATTTTAAGATCGCGCTGTTTGTTTTTAAAGCCCTGAATGGCCTGGCCCCCCTATACATTACTGACCTCCTCAGGCCATACACCTCATCTAGGCTCCTAAGATCATCAGCCTGCAGGCTGTCCCCCGCTCACGACTCAAGCTCAAAGGAGATCATGCTTTTTCAGTTAAAGCCCCTAAACTGTGGAACAGCCTTCCTCTTCCAATTAGGTCTGCATCCTCTATTGACTTTTTAAGTCCCGTCTCAAGAGGTATTTTTATATATTATCGATTAGCCATGGTTAAATGTAGACCTCATGGTTAAATGTAGACCTTCTCATGGTTAAATGTAGACCTTTCTATCAGCCAAGGGAGCTCAGCTCCACCATTGTAACTGCAGCCTACATCCCCCCTGATGCCGATGCTAAAGCTGCTATGAAGGAACTTTACACCGCTATCAGTAAACAACAGACTGCTCACCCGGAGGCTGCATTTATAGTTGCAGGTGATTTTAATCACTCAAACTTAAAGACAGTGCTCCCTAAATTTCACCAGCATGTTTCCTGCAATACAAGAGGAAACAAAACTTTGGACCATGTTTACACAAACATCGCAGGAGCCTACACCACGACCCCCCTCCCCCACCTGGGACAGTCAGACCACCTTTCTTTGTTCCTCATCCCCAAGTACTCCCCACTCATCCAACGTGTGAAGCCATCAGTGACAACGATTAAAGTGTGGCCAGCGGGGACAGACTCTGTACTTCAGGACAAGTTCCATCACACAGACTGGAGTATGTTTGCTTCTCAGGCTACCTTGGGCTCTCACACAGACATTGACACCTACACTTCTTCTGTGTTGGATTATATCAATACCACCATCGACAGTGTTACAACATGGAAGCAGATCACCACGTACCCAAATCAGAAGCCATGGATGAACAAGGAGGTGCGTCTCCTGCTGAAGGCCCGCAACACCGCCTTCAGATCAGATGATGCAATGGCCTACAGCGTATCCAGGGCAAACCTGAGGAGGGGCATCATCAAGGCCAAGCACTGCTACAAGCTGAAGGTTGAGGAACACTTCTCCAACTCCGACCCCAGACGCATGTGGCAGGGCATCCAGGCCATCAGTGACTATAAACCCAGAAACTCCACCCCGATAACCACAGATGTCTCCTTCCTGAACGAGCTAAATCACTTTTATGCTCGTTTCGATAGAGACAACAGAGAGACACAGACCACGACCAGACCTCCTGCAGACAACCAGCCCCTCTCACTCACCTCCACAGACGTCCACGCTGCACTGAGCCGGATCAACGCTCGAAAGGCTGCTGGTCCAGACGGCACCCCCGGGCGCGTGCTTAGGGCATGTGCGGAGCAGCTCATGGGTTTTTACGGACATCTTCAACCTGTCCCTCGCCCAAGCAGCTGTGCCAGCATGCTTCAAAGCCACCTCCATTGTCCCAGTGCCGAAACACTCCAGCCCGACAGGCCTGAACGACTACCGCCCTGTGGCACTCACACCCATCATAATGAAGTGCTTTGAGCGACTGGTCCTAGCACACCTGAAAAACTGCCTCCCACCCACACTGGACCCATTCCAGTTTGCCTACCGCAGCAATAGGAGTACAGAGGATGCAGTCTCCACTGCGCTGCACTCTGTGCTCACTCATCTGGACAATAACAACACATACGCACGAATGCTGTTTGTTGATTTTAGCTCAGCATTCAACTCTGTCATCCCCTCCAAGTTGAACACTAAACTCGGAGACCTGGGCTTCAACTCCTCCCTCCGTCCAACAGACCCCAGTATGTTAGGTCAGGACACACCTGCTCCA